TTTTCTGACATTCGATGCCCAAAGGGTTCGTGCTCTTCACAAAACCAATGGCTGCTGTGCTGAGTAATAATGAGCACATTTAATGTTATGTTCAAGTTATGGGTGGTATGTGTGATTACTCTCTTTTCCCTTTTGTTTGAAACTATCACAATGAAATATTGCTATTGCAGAGACTAAATTCTCTATACAATGGATGTGCTATGTATGTGCATTCTATGAATATTGATGCTCCTCAATACACAAACAAAGACAATTTTACGTTTCTTTGATTTCGCACAATTAATTTTGCCACGCCTATTTTGTTTTTAAAGGTCAATTTTGAGTAACCATATCTCGGGCGTGTCTTAGCATCATCATCCAGTGCCAGATCTGCAACAGACATCGGCGATCATGGTTCTCCATTCATTCCTTTGCTCGGATGCTCTAAAAGAAAAAGCTACGTTTCCCTGATCCCTTCCTCTTACCCATTTGTTTAGGTTCCCTAAGTATGTTGTTCTGGGCCTACCCCTGCCTCGCTTGCCCTCAATTTAAACTTTTTCACGACTATTCTTGTGATATTACAGCAGTGGTTTCCCGTTGCCTACTGCCGGTCTTAACATAGATGAAATATTAATGTGTCAGATGATGCAGAATTTAATTAGCTTAAAATTGGTATGCTACATGAGTGGGTAGTGCAAGGCTTTAACTCGATGATTGGGTGATTACATTTTCAAGTTTCTCTTGGATATATCGTATACTATAAAGGTAAAGATAGGTATTTGGGACGTCGGTGGCCTAGTGGTTAGGCTCTCGGACTCGCAACCGACGTTGTGTCCTTGGGATACACGAATTTTCCTCACTTCACCCAGGTGGGAATGGGTACCCGGCTATAGACAGCGAAAGATCTTGTCAGTTTGTTAGTGTTTGAGCGCTTAATCAGCTGCTTGCACTGTATGCTTCACGGGAAGCTGAAAATGTTTCGGAGTGTTTTATGGTCTGCTGGGGTAATAATAATATAGCGTAAAGCGCATAGATCCTGCTGTTGAGCGGGGATATGCGCTAGACAAATGCTATTTATTATTATTATTTATTATTAGGTAGATAGATAGGTAGACAGGTAGACAGACATAATATAGATTAGACAGACAGATAGACAGACAGACAGACAGACAGACAGACAGACAGACAGACAGACAGACAGACAGACAGACAGACAGACAGACAGACAATAATAATAATAATAATAATAATAATAATAATAATAATAATAATAATAATAATAATAACAATAATAATAGATAGATAGATAAATAGATAAATAGATAGATAGATAGATAGATAGATAGATAGATAGATAGATAGATAGATAGATAGATAGATAGATAGATAGCATTTGTACAGCGCAAATCCCCGCTCAACAGCAAGCTCTATGCGCTTCACAATCTATACTATTACCCCTGCAGACCTGAGAACATTCTGAAACAACCTCAACTTCCTGGGACGCATACAGTGCAAGCGTAAAAACACTAACATACTGACAAAATCTTTCGCTGTCTGAGTCCGGGTACCCATTCTCACCTGAAAGAAGTGAAGAAAATTCAAGAAAAGTGCCTTTCCCAAGGACACAACGTCGGGCCTGCGGCTCGAACCCCCAAACCTGCAACCTCACGATTACGAGTCCGGTAGCCTAACCACTAGGCTAACGACGCCACAGATAGACAGATATATAAACAGACCAATAGACCGAGAAAGAGCTGAAGGTTGAGACGGACACACGTACAGAACTGTTCGTAGAGAACAGTATTTAACTGTATAAAATAAACATTACGAAAAGTTCGGGAAGCATGATGTTGAATACACCCTCTCACCCCCCTCCCCTTTTCACTCTCCCTCCCCCAACCACATCACAAAGAAAAACTCAAAAGGGGGTGATGGAGGGAGGGGGTATGAAAGAGGAAGGGTGGATGAAGACAAACATCATTAATTGTCTTGTCTGTATCCTTACCAACGACAGAACTGATGTTAATCACTCTCCCCCCGGCTCCTCCTTTATCTTTCCTCATGTGCTCAGTGGCCAGTGTAGTGCCCCAGACCAGGGCAGTCTGTGAAAATACAAAAGGATTTCATCACTTTCGAATAAGATTACCACCCTACTCGTCATAGATATAATACCGTGCCGAAAGTGGCTGTCATGACTCAGTGAGTACAGACTACGCTCCCTCCACCAGGGCAGTGCTACTGACTGAAGTTGTCGTTAGGCCATTCCCAAAGGGGGGATATTAACATGTTCTTATGCACAGTAGAATTGTAAACGGGCTGATTTATCAACGTCATGCTCATACTGTGACGGACCATCATAGAGGGAACTGCTGCTTTTTCTTTCCTAATCCTTACCATCGTCATTTTTTCCTCTACTTCTTTTGAATGTTTGTCAATCTCCTGTGAACTGCTATTTCCGGGTGCCTTGATAGTGCAGACTTCGTTCTTTTGAGGCGCCTGATTCCCTGTGTGGACTTCTCTGTTGACATTTGACATCCAGCCATTGGCGCTCATATGGCCCTATGCAGTTGCGAGCGCCGTAAAAACCTTTTTAAACTAAAACAAACAGACAACGCGTAACTGATTACGTGCTTTTTGTTCTTTAAAAGGGTTACGCTTTTCGCAGATGGAGAAAGAGAGAGAGAGAGAGAGAGAGAGAGAGAGAGAGAGAGAGAGAGAG